TAATCAGGACCTCCAATGCTATATTCAACGTACCTTAACAGACTAACACAGTAGAGTCGAGCTATAGACTATAAACTAGCGCTGGATGGGAGGCAATCCATCGTTTCTAGCCTTTTATTTATTTTGCCTTAAGCATTTGATTGGTATTTTTTTTTTTTCTTCACGTTTTTTTTAATAATAAATTTTTTTTTTTTTAAGAATATACCATTAAAAGTAAAAAAATTATTTTGAATTATCGAAAAACTTGTGTAGTGGGAAATAAATTTGAAGAGGAAAATTTTGAGTAACGGGGGTCAAACTGATTAGCAAATTCTTTAGAGCCAAAGAGTCGGTACTCTCTTCTGCTCAAATCTCACCTACAGATTCGCAAGGTGAATGAATTCTTGAATTGAACCGATTATTCGATAGTCATTAAATCAAAATTCAGTACGTTGATCTGCACCGAGCTGAGAATCGATAGAAATGGCGGAAGCAGTAGAAGAAGAAGATTACATGGGAGACCTCTCTCAATTTCTACCTCCGGAAGCTTCCAAAGAGGTTAAAGTTCTTTCAACAAGGAGTAATTAATAATATACGTACATACATAACTTGTTTCTTCTGTATAGGCTGTTTATTTTAAGAAACCCCAATTCTTCAATTTTTAACCTATATTTCGATTCTTGGAATGTCTGGAATTTTCTAACTTTGAGCATGATTAAATTTCGCTTAATTTCACGAAAAAAATCAGTCCTTTGCTTAAGTATAACAGTATTTCCAAATGATCATGTTGTTGTTGTCGATTGTTGTTTGTTGCTATTCCTCTGAGAATTCATCAGGCTATAATTGGATGGAAATAGAAAATTTAAACTACTAATTATGTAGCTTTTAAGCTTAGCCAAGCAAGCTACTAATCTTGAACAAACCAGCTTATAAGCATTCTCTATATTCTGCAGCTTATATGCATCTTATTAGTCTTGTACATGCATGTATATCTCAAAGCCAACCTTTTTCCTCGTTTCTGTTTGGATGGTTGGATCTGAAAGAAAGGAATTACCCCTGAGAGATAAATTGTGAGAAGTTAAGTTTCCTGACCACTAGCATAGAAAACTAAGAGAACTTGAGCATTATTTATTTTGCATACTTCTAAATACCTACGTTCTTTGCTACATTGTTGAAATATTGCATGTTTTGAAATTTTGAACTCGTTTGATATATTATTGGACCTTGTTAATATTTTCCAGTGTTTTAAAATGCCCGCATACGCTCGGTGAGTTTTTGAAATGCTCATATACACACTTAAATGACAAAATGCACATGCATTTGTGTTAAAAATTGTGTCAAAATTAATGTAACAAAGCCTAGTCCATTTTTATAATTTAAAAAATCACATTAGTCCAAATAATCCAAACCCATGAATTATATACAACAATTTGTAGGATTTTGACATTTAGAAAAATCAAAACAATTTTTCATAAAAGTTGCTAACTATCTATGCCGAGCCCGAGCCTTCTTCTTCTTCTCTGGTCTTCCTTTAGTTTTACAAGCAAATGATGCTAGTAATGCACAATCATGGGTTGTTAATGGTTGTGATGATGAGTCAGACAATATATAGGATTTTTTAAGTCGGTATACATGACTAATCTAATTGTAGGAATTGATTACTAAGTAACTGTAGTATTTATGATTTTGAGTGTTAGAAAGTGTAAATAAATTATAAGGTTAATTGTAAGGATTTGCTTAATTATAGGGATTCCTAATTAGCATATTTTCCTAATATATATATGTATGTATGTATCGTTCCTATGGAAAATATATCAAGAAATTATTTTCCTTCTTTGTTACATGGTATCAGAGCTATAAAATAAAAATAAAAAAATTCCTTAATTTTTTTTTTACTCTTGAGTCATTGAGGATCAAATTTTGGTCCCGTGACAGCTATTCTTGGTTCAAGTACTAACCTCGTTTGGCTCTTGGTGTGGTCGGCGTTGGGGCTTACTTCTGTTAAGCGCCGTAATCTTGGGGTTGTCGATTTTTTTTTCGAATTCCAATTCGTTTGATTTTTGTTCAACGTTTCTGGTTGGAATTCTGTTGGAATTTCTGTCTCACGATTCTATTTGTGATAAACTTGTGGGCTGCCGTCGATTGTGGTGCATGACAATTTTTGTAGGCTTTCTACGTTATCAGTTCTTGCAGTGGGCTATTGGTATTCTTGGCTATCGACGATCTCCCTGCGGTGTCGTGTTTCTGGCTGATTAATTTTGTTTGGGCTGTTGTTGCTCGTCTGTCTATTTCAGATCAATCTCAGTTGGGCTTTTCATTGGTGTAGAGACAGAGAAGGTTTTAAGTGAAATTGGGCCAGATATTTGGGCTTGAATACAATTGCTTTGGGGTTGCTGCTTATTGGGCCTTAATAATTTTGGTGGATTACTTTGGTTATTGGGCTTGTTGGGCTATTGTGTGGACTATTGTATGGGGTGTTGATTTGGATATTGTGTTTTATTTTTATGGCGACGAGCAAAAGAATTTAGTTGTGACTGATGTCATTCCAGTGATATCCAAAATCACAGAACACAAGTTGGTTGGTCCAAATTATTTAGATTGGAGTAAGATAGTTCGGATTTATTTGCGGAGTATCTCTATGGACAATCATTTGACTGAAGATCCGCCCACGGATAATACTAGCTAGACATGGTTAAGAGATGATGCCTGATTATTCTTACAAATCCGGAATTCCATTGACACTGAGATAGTCAGTTTGATTAATCACTGTGAGTGTGTTAAGGAATTTATGGAATATTTAGAATTTATGTACCCTGGGAAAGGGAATGTATCACGTATTTATGAAGTCTGTAAGGGCTTTTGCCATGCTGAACAACAAGATTAGTCTCTGCAAGTTTATTTTATGAATTTCAAAAAGACCTATGAAGAACTGAATGTCTTGTTACCTTTTAGCCCTGATGTGAAAGTTCAGCAAGCTCAGCGGGAGCAAATGGTTGTGTGAGTTTTCTAGCTGGTCTTAATTCTCCGTTTGAAACTGCTAAATCCCAGATTCTTTCCGGTGCAAGATTTCATCTCTGCAAGAGACCTTTACTAGAGTACTTCACACAGATACTAGTGTATGTTGCTTCATCTGTTCAGTCTTCCCGTGCTCTTATCAGTTGGTAGTAGAGGTCATACAAAAGGCGGGGTACAAGTAGTTGGGACAATCGAAGTCAGGATGAAAGGGGAGTTGTATGTTACTACTGTCATGAGCCAGGTCATACCAAACGCACGTGCCGAAAATTGCACAATAAATCTCTGAAGTCACACTCAGTTCATGTTGTAGCTACTATTGCTACCCATCTCATCCTCTGAGCAGACCATTACAATTTCTACAGATAAATTTGCTAAATTCACTCGGTACCAAGAAGAAGCATTAAAGAATTCATCTCAACCTATCTCTGTCATTGCTGAGACAGGTAAACCTAATACATGTCTTATTTCCTCTTCCTCAAAATGGGTCATTGATTCTAGTGCCACAGATCATATGACAGGTAATCCTAGTCTCTTCTCTACTTTTCAGTCAAATACATCTCCTTCCAATGTTACTTTAGCTGATGGTCTACTTCTTCTATTCTTAGTTCTGGCACTAGTAATCTAACTCCATTAATTTCTTTATCTTTGTTGAAGAAATTATGTTCTCAATTTCAAAATGTATCGTCTTTAAATTGTGAGTTGTGTCAGTTTGCAAAACATCGTCTTTCCTCAGTTCATCGAGTCAATAAGAGAGCTAGTTTTCCTTTTGAGTTAGTTCATTCAGATGTTTGGGGTCTTTGTCCTGTTGTGTCCAAAATCAAATTTCGGTATTTTGTTACCTTTGTTGATGATTTTTCTCGTGTGACTTTGCTTTATTTAATAAAGAATCGTTCTGAATTATTTTCTCATTTTAGTGCATTTTGTGTTGAAATTAAAACACAATTTAATATTTATGTGCATACATTGAGAATTGATAATGCCAAAGAATATTTTTCCAATTCTTTTTATACTTAGATGTTTCAGAATGGTATTCTTCACCAATCCTCGTGTGTTGACACACCTTCTCAGAATGGTGTGGTTGAACAAAAAAATAGACATTTTCTGGAGACAACAAGAGCACTCTGTTCCAAATGCATGTCCTAAACAATTTTGGGCGATGCGGTCTCCACAGCCTGTTTTTTTATTAATCGGATGCCTTCATCTGTTCTTCATGGTGTGAGACTCCTTATAGTGTCATTTTCCCTACTAAACCTTTCTTTTCTATTGAACCTAGAATATTTGGTAGTGCTTGTTATGCTCGTGATGTTCGTCCCCAGGTAACTAAATTAGATCTCAAATCCTTAAAATGTGTTTTTCTAGGTTACTATCGTTTACAAAAAGGGTATCGATGCTGCTGTTAGAGTCTTTAACACGTATATTGTGTCAGCTGATGTTACCTTTCTTTCCCACTTCTTATGCCTCTTTTAATAAGGGGGAGAATGATGATCTTACCAGTCGACTAATATTGCTTCTATACCTGTTGATCCACCACCAGCACCACCACCTATTCACTAGGTCTATTCCAGACGACGTGACCCTCCCGATGCATGTTCGGCACATGTCTCTTCTTCGACATTGGATCAAGTGTCCAGTGATCTTGATATACCTATTGATCTTCGCAAAGGTAAACGTTAGTGCACTTATCCTATTTCCTCTTTTGTTTCTTATGATCACTTGTCTTTTTTTTCTTGTTCTTTTGAACAGAGAGAATTGAGAAGACTTTTTTGTTCATGAAGCCTCATCTCAATCTGGTTGGCGTGATGCTATGATAGAGGAGATGAATGCTTTAGATGCTAATGGTACTTAGGATTTCATGAACTTGCCTGAAGGGAAAAAGACTATTGGATGTAAGTGAGTGTTTACCGTCAAAGTCAATTATGATGGATCAGTGCCTAGGCTTAAAGCTCGTTTTGTGGCTAAAGGCTATGCTCAGACTTATGGTGTGGATTATTCTGACATTTTCTCTCCTGTAGCTAAATTAACATCTGTTCACTTATTCATTTCTATGCCAGCTACTCATAATTGGCCTTTACATCAATTAGACATCAAAAATGCCTTATTACATGGTGATCTCCAAGACGAAGTTTATATGGAGCAACCACCAGGGTTTGTCGCTCAGGGGAAGCATAGGAAAGTGTGTCATCTCTGAAAGTTCTTATATGGTTTGAAACAGAGTCCACGTGCTTGGTTTGGAAAATTTAATCAGGCAGTGGAAAACTTTGGAATGCAAAAGAGCAAGTCTAACCACTCAGTCTTCTACAAACAGTTTGAATCTGGCATTATTCTCCTCGTTGTGTATGTTGATGATATTGTTATTATTGGCAGTGATACTATGGAAATATTATGTCTAAAGCCCTTTCTTCACACCCAATTTCGAAATTTTTTGGGGTGTTGAAGTATTTCTTGGGAATTAAGGTGACAAGAAGCAAGAAATGCATCTTCTTATCTCAGAGAAAATACGTGTTTGATTTATTAACTGAGACAGGAAAGTTGGAAGCTAAGCCAAATAGCGCTTCAACGCTTCCTAATTTGCATCTTACCAAAGATGATGACTTATTTGAAGATCCTGAGAAGTATAAAAGACTGGTTAGGAAATTGAACTATCTTATAGTAACTCGTTCTGATATTGAGTATTCTACCAGTATTATAAGTCAATTCATGTCTTCCCCAACAGTTCACAATTGGGCAGCTTTAGAACAGATCCTTTGTTATTTAAAAAGGGAGTTCCTGGACGTGGGATACTATACAGAAATCATGGACATGCTCACATCGAATGCTTCTCAGATGCATATTGGGCAGGTTCCAAGATTGATCGAAGATCTACTACTGGATACTGTGTTTTTTTTGGAGAAAATTTGATCTCATGAAAAAGTAAGAAGCAAAATGTTGTATCCCGATCCAGTGCAGAATCAGAATAAATCAGAATATAGAGCTATGATACAGTGTGTGTGAGATAATGTGGATATATCAGCTCTTAACTGAAGTCGGGCTTAAGGCTTCAATACCAGCAAAGTTGGTGTGACAATCAAGCTACTCTTCATATTGCTTCCAATCCTGTGTTTCATGAATGAACCAAGCATATTGAGATTGACTATCATTTTGTTCGTGAAAAGATGCAATAGAACTTAATCTCTATAGGATATGTGAAAATTGGAGAACAATTAGGAGATATTTCCACAAAGGCTCTAAATGGAATTTAGGTTGATTATATTTGTAACAAGCTAGGCATGAGTAATATCTAGCTTAAGGGGAAGTGTTAGAAAGTGTAAAAAAATTATAAGCTTAATTGTAGAGATTGGCTTAAATTATAGGGACTAATTATTATATTTTCCTAATATAGTTTTCTCAATATGTATGTATGTATGTATGTATCGTTCCTATGGAAAATATATCAAGAAATTATTTTCTTTCTTTGTTACATTGAGCAATATGTTTTTGTTGAAAATTTGAAGAATATGTATAAAATTCAAAGAATGCATTATTATATTTATTTATTTATTTTAAATATTTTAAATACTATTAAAATTTTAAAAACGCATAATTATGCATAAGCACGCATATGCTTATAATGTTTGATGTTCGACAGAAACGTATTGCCACGCATTACACATTTTAGAACGTTGATATTTTCTTTGAATTTGATTTTATGGAGAATTGTAGTTTGATGTCCTGATTTAGTATGAACGCAACTAAAGTTTTACGTTGGTTATCTTCTTTCAAGGTTTCTCGTAGTACAGCTTCCATGTCAAATTCTTCAGACAAGAAATCCAGACCTCAAAATCGGCATAAGCAGAGAATGCTCAAAAGGGAGAGGGACCAAATTGAAGAAGACCAACAAACCCTAGAAAAGTTAGGTTCGGCTATTCCACAATCCAATATTGGTTTCAAACTGCTAAAACAAATGGGCTACACTCCTGGCTCTGTATTGGGCAAGGAGGGCTCTGGCCGGGCCGAGCCAGTGGGATTGGATATAAGGAGGGGCCGAGCTGGGATTGGTAGAGAGGATCCCAAGGTAGAGAAGCTGAGGTTAGAGAAAGAGAATGCTGAGAAGAAGAGGAGAAAAGAGGAGGAGTTGATGGTGGATTTTGGAAGTCGCCAGAAGGAGCGCTGGAAGGGAAGGAGGATTACAGTGAATTTTAGGAAGGCGGAGGCAGCATTAGCACAGCTGGAAAACAGGGATGTTGTTGAGGTTGAGAAGAAAGATGATGAGGATGAGGAAAAGGAGGAAGAGGAAGAAGAAGAAGAAATTACTGAAGAGGTACCATTTATTACATACTTTTTCATATGCATTTCTGACATTCTATTTGTTCCCATCTTTGGATTTCATGCATAGCTTTAGTTGTAATCATGGTTCAACCTGCCTGTATGCATAGAAAATTTATTAGTAGTGTGTCATTTTAATTGTTCTCTCTAGTTCTTCAGGTGATAATTCAATCGTTGATTTGCTAATGTATTAAGAAGTGAGTAATATTGTGCTTGCTTGACTAAGCTTTAAAATGCTTATAAGCACTTGGTCTTGAGGAATTTGTGGTTTTAAAGTAGATAAAAATTGTGGATACTAAAAAATGTGTAGTTAAAAATGATTTTTGACAAGCTTATAAGAACTATCAAACAAGGTCTTAATGAATGGCGATGTTTATCCTGCATCTACTATTGACATTGATTCATTCTGAAGAAGTTTTCGCTTGTTTCCGCTCTAGCATCCTTTGTGAATGCATATCATTACTATGGTTACACTGCCATCAATATGAATCTTGCAGCACGTGCCATTGCATTTGGTTCATGTTGGGTTCACTAAAATGAAAAATTATATAAAAATGATGGCAGTTGTCCAGCTGTGAGGATGAGCAGTCATGATGAGAGTAGATCCATATTTAGCCCCCTATTTGAGACCCATTTGGAACCGTGATTTTTTGGAGTATGTGGTTAAAAAGTAGGAAAAATTTTTGGGGTTCGGTATAACATTAAATAATGAGAAATGTGTTGAAAATGAATTTTGAAAAAAAATGAGTTTTAGAAAAAATGTGGCTCAAAACAGGGGCTTATTGTAGCTGCTACTGATTGTCATACACCAAACTGGAGCTTATGCATTAGTTCAATAAAGAAGTATCAAGCCTGAATCCTTTTAAGCATCTGTTGGGCAGTTATATTGTAGAATCCATGACATTGAAAACATTGCATACACTTCGTTATATGCAATGATTCAATCAACAATTCAAGCAAGTGCTTTTTGGTTAATTACTGCCTGTCATTTGCATATGTCAATCACATATTATATTCATTTCACACTCGTATGAAATGCCAACCTTATGAGTAGTTAGTCATCGATTTTTAAATCCAAATGGATTGTGATGACCTTACGGTCTCTTTGATGTCTATATGTGGATATTAATATTTTGACAGGTAACCTTCTCCCTTTCAGTGATAAACCCTGCCATATATTTTGCGTTCTATGGTAATTTATGAAGCCTCTTTTTGAAGAAGGTGTATCTTATCCATACGTTATATAGAATATGTTACAATGTTATACAGTAGATTGATCATTGAAGAACAATTTGTTCTTGAGCATGTTACGTTGGCTAGTACCTTTTTCATTATACTTGCTTATGGCCAGGAACGATAATTGTATTATTGGGTACTTTGTTCAATGCAGGATTTGGTGGATATGTTGATGAAGCTAAGAAATGAATTCCATTACTGCCTTTTTTGTGGATGTCAGGTAAATAGGATCATATCAGAGATTGTTGAATCAGAAATACTAGTTAGGAAATATTGATGTGGTTATATCAAAATTCTGTTTTTCATTACCCTACAACTTTTTTTGTTCATCTTCTATTTTTCAGTACGAGTCAATGGAAGCACTGTTATCCAACTGTCCTGGAATAAATGAAGACGAGCACTGAATTATATGCCCCGGATCTGAAGTCTAGGAGTCACATTTGAACTCAGTCGACATCAAAATTCCCAGGAAGGACCCGAAGCTGCAATGCAACGTCGAATTTGCACACTAGTGAAGTGGAAAAGAATTCTCGCATAGCCTCCTCATTGATAGACCAGATGTAAAAATCCGAGTTACCCTTCATTATTGTATTGTATGCATTCCATAAAATCTTTTAGGAGTTCATTGCCTATTAGACGGCCCCATTGTGAAATCTTCATGAATGGAAAAAAAAAAATTGCAGTCATTTCGATTGTGATTATCATTGATTCTTTCTTCGGCAAGAACAGAAGAATCCTTAAAAACAAAATCTTTATACTTAAATATAACTAGTCAAAGTTGAATGTGTGTTGTATGCTATTCTAAAATACTTTATAAATGCTTGAACGTAATATTTGATCTTTCATTTACCCTTTTGATTTAAATATGAGAAAAAATGTAAGCTTTGAAAATAAATTTTAATTATTATACATGCATGCAAATAGTGAAATACATACTTCATATGAGTATTAGAATTACAAATAAATGCATAAATGAAGATGAATGGTAAATACGTTACATGAATTAATGTGAATGTTAATTAATTTAGAATTAATATCAATGAATATATACGTGACAATGAATGTTAAATTATTTTTATTAAAGGAATATAATTTAATTTTTAATTAAGTGATACTCGATGCTAATTAGCATACATGGGCATGAATAATGAACTGAATGTGAACGAGAAATTTTAATTAATAATAATTAGATGAATGTAGAAATGGCAATTCGAACTGTGAAAATCGAAAATCGCAGTTAATCGAACCGAATGGGGCGAAAAAAAGGGAACCGATGGTGCAATAGGGCGGTTATGGTTTTGATTTTAACAAACCGCTTCATTTAGGGGCGGGTATGGTATTTAGCTATGGTGAACCCAACCGAACCGATTACTCGTTAAAAAAAAAAATTTGGACAAATGGACTTTCCATTTTTATTTCTCAAAATTAATTGGGCAATTTTTTTTGGGGTACTTACAAAAATACCCTTAAAATTAGGGGTGTTTTGAAAAATCATGTGAAAGATTTTTAGGAAGTAAAAAATACTGTGTAAAATGAAAAAGTGACACAATGTCACTTTTTTATAAAAATTGTCACTTTTTTACTAGTGTTTTGAAAAATTATGTGAAAGATTTTTAGGAAGTAAAAAATACTGTATAAAATGAAAAAGTGACACAATGTCACTTTTTTATAAAAATTGTCACTTTTTTACT